TTTTTTCTTCTAGTAGGTCAAGATTGAGGAGCAGTTCCGCCTCGTTTCTAAGTGGTTCGTACTGCTCTACCCTGTCGGTTGGCACACCGATCTCAACTGGAACGACAAATTCAGAGCCAAAGGCTAGTGAAAACGGAGTTTCGCCAGTTGACTCTCTAGGGGTAGTCCGATATGACCACAATACTTCGGGTAGCTCCTCGACCCATCTTCCCTTTCTGGATTCCAGTCTCAGCTTGAGTCCTCGTTTTATAATTTTGTTTATCGCTTCAACCTGCCTATTTGCTTTTTAATGCGCAGGGGACGAACTGAGATGGCTTATGCCCAGCTTCCTGCAAAAGTCCTTGAACTTTGCATTGTCGAACTGCTTTCCATTATCCGTCACAATAGCGTTTGGTATACCAAAACGGCATACAATGTTCCTCTATATGAAAGATGTGACTCTGGACTTCGTGATGTGAGAGAGCGCCTCGGCCTCGGCCCACTTGGTGAAGTATTCCACAGCGACAACGATGAATTTGGTTTCCCCCTTGCCAAGAGGAAAATGACCTATGATATCTACTCCCCATTGTGCGAATGGCCACGGGGCCGAGATGGGAGTGAGCAGCTCGGGAGGTTGATGGATAATGTTTGCAAAGCGCTGACAGTTATCGCAGGCTTTCACAAACTGTTTGGCATCCTGATCAACGGTGGGCCAGTAATACCCTTGTTGGACCACCTTGGCCGATAACGACCCGACGCCAGAGTGGTTTCCACACACTCCCTCATGGATTTCCCTAAGGATGTAAATGCCCTCTTCAGGAGTTACACACTTAATCAGAGGCAGGGAGAAGCCACGTCGGTACAGTGCTCCATCCCGGAGTATGAATCGAGCTGCTTTTCGAGCCATTTTCTTTTGCTCTTTTGAATCTAGCAGCGGATTTCCTTTGATGAACTCCACGATTGGGTCCATCCACAAGGGTGCTGGAGTGTCAACCTCCATCATATATGGCTCCAAGATCGAAGAATTGTCCAAGATCTCAACCGGGACTGATCTGGCCAGGTCGGTCTCATATGCTGATGCCAACTTGGCTAAGGCATATGCATTGGAATTTTCCGATCTTGGAACTTGATTCACCTCGTAAGTCTTGAATTGGGCGAGGTGCGATTGATTACGCTTGTTTACATGTGTAAAAAGAAGGTTTTAGATGCTGTTTTTACTATGTTTTAACTTTGTTTCGGACTTTTTCTCGGTCGTTTGAGTTCCAATTCATGCAAAATTCATATATGATGGTTTGTGGTTGGCTTATATTGTATTTATGACATTTTAGGACCATTTGGGAGTGCAAATTAATCAAAAGAAGCAAAAAGACGGAAAAACACCTCAGGAGGCGCCAGGCGCCTGGGAAGGCTGTAGAAAACAGTTTTTCTTCCAACTTTGCCCTTAATGAAATGCGTCTTCCAATGCGTTTTGGTGGTTCCAACCGATGCATACGTGTAGAAGAAGTGTTGCACTATCAGTTTGAGAATGATTTAGTCAGTCAAAGGAGTTGGAAATGGGTGATTCACCATCGTTTTAGGACCTACCTAACCAATTCTGCACAGCTATAAATTCCAGCAGCTTCTCCACCAAATTCATCAAGCTTTGCTTCCTTTTTTTGATCATTTTTAGTGTTTCTTTGTTGCTTTCTAAGTACTTTTGAGTTGCTTTCATTAGTTGCTTTTAGTTTTTAAATCCCGAGCACTTTACATTCCTTTATTGAGCTTTGTTTTGTTTTCGTTTGTACTTAGTTATTTTCTACTTATTCAAATATATAAAAATCCAGCACTTTGCTTATCTTCCCTTTGCCTTTACTTTATTTTTAGTTAAGAGAGTTGTGTTTTTGGAGGAAAGAGCACGTGACACTCCCCCTTGCTTGAAAGAGAAGGGCGAAGCTCTCAATCCCGAGAAAAACTCTCCGTTAGTTAACTTTTGTTTTTCACACATGCATTCCAATTTCAACCATTTTACTTGTTGTATTTTCTTCAATATGTCTTTCTAAATTCCCGTTTCTAGCCCGGTTATGGATAGTTAGCCTTTTATTTCTAAAAAGGGTTGCTAAGAAGTAGTGTTTTTGCTTTTCATTCATTGCTCAACATGTTTTCCCAAAAAGTTAGGATTTAGAGAAGGCCACTGTAAGTCTTAACAAGTCAATACTGAAAAGGTTGCTTATTTGCATTGTTGAGTGGTTAAACCGAGGAGAGGAGTGCCTTAGACATAAGGGTTTCGCTTAAGTAGCCTAGACATAGGACCTTAACCCGAGGTTGCGACTATTTCCATCCTAAAACTAAGATATCTCTCATAATAGACATATTAGGGAATGTCTTAGGACTTTGAACTTGCTTAGACATAAGTCAAGTGAAAAGTGTAGTCGTTGGTTCCTAAAGTAAAATGCATATCGTCCTTAGCATATCCTTGATTCTTTGTTGGCTAACTTGAAGTAATTTGGGCTAGGTTTTACCATTATAAGACCAAATCCCAAATCCAAAACCATTATTTGTGACCACTTCCCATTTTACAAGTATCACTCATTTCAACGTTCACTATTCATTAAAACTTTAGAGTTTGAAAATTATTTAGAAGTCCTTGAGGATCGATACTTGGATACTCCATCCATTTTATATTACTCTGACAGGTGTGCGCTTGCATCTATAGAATTGTTACCACGCTTAGTGCGTGCAGCATAACCACCAGTCAGCGATCTGACTTTGCTTAAATATTTTTCCATCCGGGGGTCTTTTGTTTGATACTCTTCCTTAATCTGATTTACGACCAATTTGGAGTCACTAAAGACCTTGATGTGGATGACCCCTAGTCCTTTTGCAATGCGTAAGCCTGCCAAAAGTGTTTCGTACTCGGCCTCATTGTTTGAAGTCCGAAAGTTGAACCGCAAGGCATACTCGAACCTCATGCCACTCAGTGCGAGCAAGAGGATCCTTGCTCCGCACCCTCTCTCATTGGAAGATCCATCAACGTAGATCATCCACGAGAGATCGGACTCAGCCGACTGAGGCGGTGGGGTGAGCTCCGAGATGAAATCGGCCACTGCTTGCCCTTTCAATGCAGTTCTGGGTTCGAACTGGATGTCGTATTCGCTCAACTCCATTGCCCGCTTCATCAGGCGCCTTGATGTTTCTGGCCTGTGGAAGATGTTCTTCAGAGGCAAGTTGGTAAGTACTATGACGGTATGCGTTTGAAAGTATGGCCTAAGTCTTTGGGTCGAGGTGACTAAGGCGAGGCTAGCTTCTCCATTTGGGGATACCTGGTCTCGGCCTCGGTCATGGCTTTACTTTTGTAATAAATGGGACTTTGGCGCACTCTCTCCTACTTGATTAGGGCCGAGCTGACAGCGCTGTCGGACACTGCCAGGTACAAGTGGAGCTTGTCTCCTGGCAATGGCTTGGCGAGCAGAGGTGCCGAGCAAAGATAGTTTTTCAACTACTCTAGTGCTTGCTCGCACTCTACCGTCCATTTAAACGGTCCATTCTTTCTTAGGACTTTGAAGAAAGGAAGACACTTATCTGTTGACCTCGAAACGAATCTATTCAGGGCTGCAATCCTGCCATTGAGGCACTGAAGCTGCTTCAGAATCTTGGGTGCCTCCATCTCGAGCACGGCCTTTATCTTCTCTGGGTTGGCTTCGATCCCTCGGCTGTTTACCATAAAACCAAGGAACTTTCCTGAGGAGACTACAAGGCACACTTGGCTGGATTGAGCTTTATTTGATATTTCCGGAGAACTTCAAATGCTTCGGCCAGATCGGAAAGATGCGACTTTGACTGCTTGCTCTTGAAAAGCATGTCGTCCACATACACTTCCATATTCTGGTTGATCTGCTTGGCGAACATTTTGTTCACCATTCTTTGGTAGGTCGCCCTCTCGCATTCTTTAGGCCGAAAGGAATAACCTTGTAGCAATACAGACCTTGATTTGTTATGAATACCGTATGATCTTGATCTGGAACATTCATTTTGATTTGGTTGTCTCCGGAGTAGGCATCCATGAAGGTGAGCAGCTCGTGCCCTACTGTTGCATCTACGAGCTGGTCAATCCTTGGTAGTGGGAAGCAGTCTTTTGGGCATGCCTTATTTCAATTTGTAAAATCTACGCACATCCTCCACTTTCCATTAGCCTTTTTAACTAATACAACATTAGAGAGCCACTCGGGATACATAATTTCTCTTATATATTCAGCATTTAAAAGTTTGTTTACTTCTTCAATAATTACATCACTCCTCTCCTCTTTTGCTTTACAGGTCGGAATGATAGGTCTATGTTGAGGCGATGCACCATGATCTTCGGTTCGATGTCTGGCATGTCTTCATGGGACCACGCGAAAACGTCCGAGTTGGACCTGAGGAAGTTGATCAGCTTCTCCCTATCAGTGGCCCCAGCTTGGTTCCTATGCTTACTTATCTTTCAGGGCTAAGCAAAAGAACAAGCTCGAGTTCCTCTGTCGGTGCGGAGAATTTCCTTTTACCTAATTTTGGTAGGTCGGCCTCAGACTTCAGCAACTCATCCCCGTTGGCTTGTCCTAGGGCGCATACTGATGACCCTTTAAGCGCGGAGGCATAACACTCCCTCAAAGTTTTCTGCTCCCCTCGGACCGTGCCCACTCCATTAGGAGTTGAGTACTTCAGAACTTGATGAACTGTTGAGGGAACGACCCGAAACGAATGGATGATGGGTCTCCCGAAGATGGCGTTGTAGGCCGACCTTCCGTCGATCACGACGAACTCGGCCATCTGAGTTACTTGTGTATCATCTTGCCCAATCGTAACCGGTAAGTCGATACACCCTTCTAGAGAGACCGATTCTCCAGAGAATCCAACCAAGGATGTTGGACTCTTCTTCAACTGAGACCTGGTCCATCCCAAGGCCAGGTATGTCGGAAGGGACAAGATGTTGGCAGACGCGCCTCCATATACCAATACTCTTCTGACCAGGACATGATCGATAAGAGGGGCGATCACAAGTGCATCATTATGGGGTAAGTGGACCCCCTCCAGATCGGCATCACCGAAGGTAATGGAGCAAGTCGGTTTCTGCTCCCTGATGATGCACACCTCGCGCTTGGCTTCGCGAGCTAGCTCTTTTCTTTTATTTCTAGACTGGCCCCCATTTGGGCCCCCGAAAATAATGTTGATGATCGTAGGTCGGTCATCTCGACGAGGCGACGTCCTTGAACGCTTCTTCTCTTCTTTCTTCTCTACTGAGTTGAACCTCGGTTTTACAACGAATTTTTTGAAGTAGCCGTCTTGAATGAGGTCTTCAATCTGGCGCTTCAGTTCCCAGTAATTTGATGTATTATGGCCGTGATCGCGATGAAAACAACAATATTTATCTTTATTGCGCTTTTCTAGGTCTCTTCGGAGCTTCTCAGGTCGCTTGAGGAGCTTTTCCATCCCACTTTCCTCGATGTTCGTAAGTATTTCAGAGATGAGGATAGTGGTTGGAGTGTACCACTCATAAGGTCGGCTTCGGCTGTGACCGCTATCCGACCTTCGATAATCAGCTCGGCTGCTAGAGGAGGATGGTCCCTTGTCTTTAGATTTGGAATCACCCTTCCTCTTCTCTTGGCTGGGCTTCCTCTGGTCGATCTGCTTCTCAGGTCGGCCAGTCTTGGTTCGGACGAGCTCTTGTCCATCAATGACTTTCTTCGCTTTTTGCAGAACTTCGGCGAAGGTTGCTGGAGCCTCCTCTCCAAGCTTAACAGTGAGGGTCTCATCGGCTAAGCCGGTGAGGAAGTAGCACATGGCCGAGTCATCGGAGTAGTGCGCGACCTTCAACTGCTCCTCTTGGAACCTTGTGACATACTATCTCAGCGCCTCACTTTCTTTCTGCCTAATGGTGGCAAGATGAGTTGCTATCTTCCTATCGTAGTGCCGAGAAGAGAATTGGCTGATAAATTCTTTCCTCAGTTGGGAGTAGGTCGAGATCGACCTGGCCGGCAGTCTTCGATACCACAGGCGCATGCTGCCGGTGAGCGCGATCTAGAAGGCGCGGCACTTGATTGCATCCGTTGCCGCCTGAAAATCCATGAGGCCTTCGAAGACTTTAACATAGTCTTTTGGGTCCTTAGACCCGTCATAAGGCTTCATGGTGGGAGTTTTGAACTTCGGAGGGATTGGAGCCTCCATGATGTCCGAGGTGAATGGCGATTCTCCCAAGTCGCCATCATCAAACGAGCTCTCTTTTTTCTTGCACCTAGCTTTCAAGGCTTCAACCTGAGCATCAAACTTGCTCTTTAGCTGGTCAAACTCCTCCTTTGTGATTACTCCCTCGGGAGTTATTGGGTTGTAGGAGGACTCGGCATGTTGGTTGGAGTTCTTGTGCGAGCAGGACGGAGATCGTCCCTTTCGGAGGGACGAGCTTCTCTTTCTGTTCAGATGCTCGCGGAGATCACCTCTTTGATGAGTGTACTCTTCGTCCTCATCTCCTCCAAGGCGCTCTTCTTCGACTGGTCCGAGGTGCAGACCTCTTTGCTCGTGCATCTCATCGCGCGCCACCCAGTCTTCAGATCGAGACCCAGCACCCGCGGCTTGCACCATCTCGTTGTACATCTCTTCCATAGTGCGCATCTGAGTGCGCATTGCCTCCATTTCTTTCTGGAGTGCATCGAAGTTCTCCCTAGTAGGAGCTGGGGCTGGTCC